TGTTTATTAGAAAGCAGGCTCCAGGTCATCTTTTATCAATGACAACAGAAGCAGAAACCCTCCGTGGCAAGCCTCCCGCCCCACCCTATGCATTAATTCAGTCTTCTCCAAGTCTTCCACCCTGTGGAAAGACACCGATTGCTTTGGAAAAAAACCCCTGAGCAGGGCAGACGTGGCTCAGCACCGAAGTCTGTTAGGCTTGTGCACTCGGGGAATTGTTTGCCCCAGCAAAACAAATCTTTTTAAAAAATGTGAAGTGAACAATTAATTCAGAATGAGCAGCGGTTTAACCTCTATTCTACTTGACCGCTGCAGAGTTCACACTGCTGAGCCCTACCTCCTTTCAGAAACTCCCAGACACAGCTTTCTCTGACCATCTCCGACTCCTCTGAGCTTGCTCTGCTCTGGTCCCCGTCAGGCTCCTCGCCTGCTCTCCAGACCAGACCTGCGGGCAGGGGAGTACCCACCGCTCAGGCCTGGTACCTTCCCTCCTGGCTGACCTGCCTCTCTCTGCAGGAGTTTGCTCACAGCCAGGGCTTCAGCTGTGACCTATATTCTGAGGACACCCCCATCCCCCCTGGGGTTCCAGATCCGCATTTCCCAACAGTTTACATCCTTGCTACTCCAAGTGTGCTCTGGGGACCAGAAGCATGGGCATCCCCTGGAAGCTTGTCAGAAACACAGACTCCCAGGACCCACCCAGACTTCCTGAACCGCGAGCCACAGTTCAACCAAGATCCAGGTGATTCACGCACACGTGAAAGCTTAGGGAGAACTATCCTATCCATCTGGACACTTCCCGGAGCCCAAATTCAGCAGGTCCAGGCTGAAGGCAGATCCTTCCTCCAAAACATGAAGTCCTTCTTTGCTTTCCAACCCAGCGAATAGCTTCTATCTGGTGTATGGGGCGGGGGTGGGGTGTGTTATGCTGGGTTGGGGGAAAGGTCAACATTCCCAGCAAGTGGCTGCCTCATCTTATAACAGGCTCCCTCCTGCCCAGGGATACTGGAAAGACAGCATGTTCTATGTGGAAGCCAGCCTAAACTTCAGGGCCAGCCAGCACAAAAAGGCTCCCTCCGAGGTCCACATGACAGGGCTCGCCCTGTCAAGTCTCTACCCTGTGCCCTTCCCCTGTTGCCACCAGCATGGCTCAGTACTGCCAGGGTCCCTACTCCAAAACTGAGAGTCCCTCTCTTAGGAGAGCATCAGGCCTGAACCCTGATGGTCCCTCTCCATGGAGAAGGGCATCTTCGGAGCCCTGTGAGGGCCCCACTGAGTGAGAAACAGAGGGCAGCAGGAGCTCATGGCTGCCAGTTCAGTTGCTGGATGTGATGGAAGTGGGCTCTTTGGGTGGTACCCTCAGTAAAATTCTTTGCTTCCAGGGCTGGGAAACAGCTTCGATGCGTACTGTATTAGTCAGAATTCTCTCCACTGCAATCTGACTAGCTTGAGCAAAACCAGGATTTAGGTAGTAGGAGAAGTGGGTAGTTTATTGAATTGAAAGAAGATCTAAAGGAAAAAGAAGAGTCTGGGGGATCTTAGGGGCTGGGAGCTGGGATTCTGTGCTCCCAGGACCCTGTCCTCCCTGCTGCTTTCTCAGCATCTCCTTCATTCGCCAAGCCTTCTCCGCTTGGCAGGAGACGTGGCTGTAGGTGGTTCTGATAGGCGGCATCCCAGCTTAGCTGCCCAAGGGAAAGATGCTTTCTTTTTCCTAAGAATTCCGATCAGCCTTGACCAGCCCTCATGCATGCTTTGGCCCATTTTTTTGTGGCCTGGGGCATGAGTCCCATTCTTGGCCCAGCCTAGGTTGTAGTCATGCGTATCAGGGGCTGAGTGATGAACAAGGCCATGAGCAGTCCCTAAAAGCATCAGCTGGTTTAGCGTTCTTATCCCAAGTGAGTCTTTGGGCACATCAATGTGTGGGATGATGACTATCCACTAAAAAATATGAAGTGCCCCATGTCATTTTCACACCAACAAATATGAGGGGGGGAGGGTTAGGCTTGGCTTTTTCTTCTATGCCCTGTGAGTTAACAGAGACATGATGATTTAATGAAGAGGTGATCTTAAAGAAATCCCAGCCCTGTCCTCCTACCACAGCTGCTTTAGTTCAGGGCCTGGGGCTTTGACTTGGCAAGACAGTTGCATTCGGGGAATACCCCTTTCCCCCTCCTTTCCTCCTGTGAAGATTCTGCCATGCATGGCCTAGGCCGAAATCCACCACCAGATCTGAGAGTATGTGCACTCTGCCTGCAAGTACCACTGCATTCCATTCTGAGCAATGGGTTCTTTGTTCTAACTTTATTTAAATGCACAGGCCATTTTCCATGTTGAAAGCAGCTTGTCTATAGTTGTTCCCACAGATGCTTTATGGCAAAACAAATTGAAGAAAGTTTCCTAATTTCTATTTGAATGATGTGCATTCCTTTACTTATCTTTAGAAATGTCAATACAGACTTAGTGGTGTACTTGATAGAAAACAAATAAGTAGACCCATTTTAAAGTTTATTATGACAATAATATCAAGGTTTATCATCCCGAATAAGCGTCAGGTGCAAATCATCCATTGCTCCCAGTTCTGAGCAGAGCCTGGACAGTTTGCTTCTAAAGATAATAGTGGGACAAGCTCTGCTTAGATGTTGTCAAGAGGTTCCATGATTCCCTTGGGAAGCATTTTCAGTAGACAGAGATGGCCTTGCCGCCTCCTTTTATACCCTATGTCAGCAGGTCCCCCCACTCACGCACCTCAGTGTGGATTTATGCAGCTATGACCAGAGTTTAGGAGAGTCTGAATTGAATCACTGAACAGCAATGACTTGTTGGACTTAACCTACAGTTACCAGCTCTTCAAAGCTTGTGCTCTTCTTGGTGGAATGCACTCACTTCCATATGTGATGGCACGGAGCTCCCACTGAATTTAAGGGGGTCGGTTTGGGGGTGATCAAAGTTTAGTTCTGCAGAGGCCTGGAGATCTCCTACTCCATGGCCCTTTCCCCACCATCGCCTCTTCACACACCCCAACTCTCCACTCCCACCTGGCACTCCCAGGGCCCCACCAGTCCAAATAGGTCCTTGTGCAAATCAGGGAATCATCCTCCTTCCCCAAAACACCATATAACCATGTTCTGCTGGAAGACTGCCATGATAAAAATATGATAGGATGCCTAGGATAATTATGATATGAATGGTATACTAACCTTATACCCTCCTGTCCTAAAGAGATGCCCTGGGAAGTTCCTCCTCAAAAACTGCACAGTTTATTCACTACCTTGGAAATCTGGCGGAGAGGGAGGGAATGAGATGCAGGTACCGGCTAGAGAGAATGACTTCCTCTTTGTAAAGTCAGGTTATTTTTGCTTCTGGAAAATCATTACCTGCTCCCGATTGGTCCCTTTCCAGTAAGCTATCATGGGTCTTTGGGAAAGTTACTGTAGAGCTAAGTTTACGGACAAATATTTACTTTTTAAAGTTATTACAATGAGAGCCTTAAATAGTAAAGACATTTCCATTTTGAAAATATGGACTGGTTTTAGCATGTGTGTTAACATAATGTACTTGTGTAGCTATTTATAGTGTACAGAATCTTCCAATAGTCATTATCCCATTACAAGAATTCTATGAGAGGTTAACTCACCTTTGTATAAACATAGAGTCTGAGACAATTAGGGGATGAGAAACTCAACCAAGTTCACGTGGCTGTATAGAGGGGCACAACTCACACTCAAGGTTGTGTTTAAAATATATAATTTACCATCTATACACGGTCCATTACAAAGCCAAACAACTTCTGTAGTGTGCACTAAAAATCCACCCAGACCACACTCACACATCAAGAAGTGTGTCCTTAACAACACAGCTGATAGGATGACTCTGTACCAGAACGGATCCGCCGTCAGTGAGATCCTGGATGTCATGTAGGCCCACAGAGCCACCTCCCCATGGCTCTATTTGCCATATGCATCACTGCCTCCCAGCCAAGCCAATGAGAATTCACATGCAAAGTTGAGTCGGGCAAGGCACTTTATAAGAGAAGCGTGTTCAGGACACATTTTTCCAGCCCTGCTTATACTTCCTACTCTCCTACCATTGGGGAACCAGGCAAAAGACTATGCTCTCACACGAGCGGACATTCAATTAGAGTTGGTAACCTCAGCACACTTCCAAGAGGTCCCCTTCTTCCATTCTGTCAATCGATGGCAAACCACGCCCCCCCCACCCCCGGCTCCTTTGGAAAAGGGTGAGTGAGAACTTCTTGGAGAATATAAGTCTCTATACCAGGATAGGCCCCCCCTGCCAAAGGGGTGGAAGCCCTTCAGAATGAAAGATGTTCTTCTTGTCCGGTGGCCGTGGGTGATAGTGGGTAGAGAAACGGGCACTGGGGTATCCAGATAGTTCACCGTCAGCTTAGATGTCAGACTGCCTCACAGTCTGTCTCTCTGCCCTTGAATCACCAGAGTCAGTGCATCTATTTAAAACAAGAGATGCTATCTTGAGTGACCGCTTGCAATAAGCACTTTGCACCGCTCTGGGTGCCCTGGCAATGTTATCTGATCCTTTGGAAACCAATTAGTACATATCTACCATCTCACACTTGGGCCTATAATGGCATTTCCTCTCGCTATATATTATGAGCTTGATATCACAGATACAGGAAGGGTAGAAGATGAAAATTCAGATTAAAAATGATAAAACCCAGAGAAACAAGAAGAAACATGAAGGGGTTTGGCTCAGCAGAAAATCTCCTTGGATGATCTCAGAATCCAAAGTCCTCACCGCTCAGGACTCAGACCCAGAAAATCTTGTTCTGGGAGATTTGTCCAAGGGCTGCAGCCCCTGCTCTTTGGCAGAGAGGAGCCTTGTACCTCTCTGAAGGCACCTGGGATGCCACTGGAATGGGGCTCCCACCACACAGAAAGCACAAGTGGAAATACAAAAATAAGGACTTTGTATCCAAGGTTTCATAAATAACTGGGGTGGCGGATATTAAATACGATGCAGAGTTACAGTTTGTTCTCCTCAAAGAGGATCTGGGCATAGACGGTGCTGGTGGGAATGCCTTTGGCAGCCTGGTGGGGCTTGATCAGCTCCAGCTCAGCGTAGGTCAAGTTCTCTTCGGCAATCTTTGGCTATAAGACAAAACACAACACAATTTGAGCTGACTGCCGGGAGTTCAACATCACACATACATTCATCAGGCATGTATTTTCATAGCACTTTGGGGATTCAAAGGGAAACAAATGGACAAAAAATTTAAAAGGATATGTAAAACCTAAATAACATAAGATAGATCTTGTTATCTTATACAGAACACTATGTCTTGCAAAAAAAACACTATGATTTGTTTTTAAGTTGTCACAGAATACTAACAAAAAAAATTGATTAAACATGAGGCCACAAAGTAAACTTTAATTCTGAAAAGTAAAAATAATGTAACTACAGTCTCTCATCGAAAGGATAAACTAGAGGTAGAGACAGAAACAAAAAGTCCCAAAAATTGACAACAAAACTAGAATGCTACCATCTAGAAATTTTAAGTGACTTAGCCTGTATAAAACTGACATTTCAGCATATCTTGAAAATAATGAAGATATTACATGCCAGAACCTAAAGAATGCAGTACTCAGAGAAAAATCATAACCTTAAATATCTATATTAAACAACATGAATTAAAGTGGGTCAAGCATCCAACTGAAGTTAGTAAAAAAAAAGAGCAAAATAAAGAAAAGCAGAAGGAAGAATGAAAAAAATAAACACTAGACTGTATAAGTCAGAAAATAGAAAACAGTAGAATAAACAAAAATATCCAAAAGCTTGTGCTTGAAAAACACCAATGAAACAAACAAAAAAATTAAGATAAAAAGGGAAAAAGCAAAAATGAATCAAATAGGAAATGAGAAAGGAGGTATAATAAAATGAAAGAAGTTTTAAAACTTCACCTTTGTTCAACGTATCGCAAAAACCTTGAAATACAGGATAAAATGAGTACTAGTCCAGAAAAATATAAATTATGAACATTAGCTCCAGAAAATGTCAATGTACTAACTACCATCAAAAAATAAAGAATGAAAAGAAAGGAACAGAGGAAGCAAGGCCAGAAGGCAGGCAAGAAAATATTGTCAAAAGCACCAGGCACAGGCAGTTTGATAAGAGAATTTCTAAGAGAGATTCCTTTAAGGAACAGACAATTCCAATATAATTAAACTGATCCAGAGCATTATGGAAAAGGAAAAACTTCACATATTTTAGAACAATTTCATGTATTAGTATAAATTAGCATAAATCAGATTTACTCAGAGACTATGAAAAGGCACACTGAAGATAGATAATCATGTTCAAGTTGACTTTTTTTTCCAGGAATGCAAAGATGGTTCAATATTAGAAAAATCTATTAATATAATTCACAGTAGTAACAGAGAGAAAAACCATATGGTTATCTCTATAGGTGCTGGAAAGGCATTTAATAAAAAATTTTAAATTTTTGTTAAAAATAATTCTTGATGGGCTTCCCTGGTGGCACAGAGGTTGAGAGTCCGCCTGCCAATGCAGGGGACAGGGGTTTGTGCTCCGGTCCGGGAAGATCCCACATGCCGCGGAGCGGCTGGGCCCGTGAGCCATGGCCACTGAGCCTGCACGTCCAGAGCCTGAGCTCCGCAACGGGAGAGGCCACAACAGTGAGAGGCCTGCGTACCGCCAACAAACAAACAAACAAAAAAAATTCTTGATACTGTAGTCATAGATTTTTTTCTTACCATAACTAAGAAACATTATTAAAATAAAGAATAATTGGTGATCCAACTCCAGTCATATTAAAAATAAAGCTGCTATAATTAAAACACTGCGGTATCAACAAATGAATAGACCTCAGTGGGACCGATGAAAACATTCAGAAATTAACCCAAATATTATTTTTCAATAAACGGTGTTGGGATACTCGGGTAGCCATTTGAAAAACAAATCATATCCTTTATGTCATTCTTTACATTAGATAAATTCCAGACGAGTTAAAATTTTAATATGGAAACTGAACTCATAAAAGTGTTAGAAGAATGTGTGGGGAAATTTTCAAAAAAATAATCTCAGCATATGGAAGGTGTTTCAAAGTCTAACACAAAATCCAGGAGCAACAGAAAAATGATACGTAAATTTTCATGCTGTATTTTGCAGAATATTCTCTAAATAAAGTCAAAGGACAATTGAAAACATGAGCAAAATATTTGCAACTCATATGAAAGGGCCTTACAATTTAACAAAGATAACGGCCAGCAGTCCATTAGAAAATTAAGCAAAGAACAAGAGACAGGACCAGAGAGTGCACAGGAAGAGAAACACAAAGGCTCTTACACATATTAAGTGTGACTCAACCTCTCTCAAAATAAGACAAGCGAGATTTAAAATCACTTAGACATCAGTTTTTGTCTTTCAAGTTGACAAACAAACTAAAAGTTTTCCAAAAGAAACAGAAAGAAACAGGTCCTCTTGTATATTGTTGGTGGAAGTGTTTATTGGTACAAGTAAAAAAATGCAAACACTTCAGTGGGCATCAATAGGAGGCTGATGCATTCATAATGGAGTATCCAGTACAGTCTTTAAAAAGAATGATGGAGCTGTATATGTATACTGTATGTTTTCCTATCATTTGTGTAGTGTATGGGAGTATATATATACATGTATATATGTTATATACTCAGAAAACCCTTGGAACTCACCTGGAAGTCAAGAACCTGGTCTCCAAGATTCCCTCTGGGGAAGTAAATGGGGTGGCTGGAGAGAGACTCAACCTTTATTGTAGACATTTGTTGGTACCTTTCAAATTTTCTAGATGGTACATTATTTAAACAGCACATTAATTAATTTTAATTCACAATTAGAAAAATAAAAGCTGGTCACTAATTTATAGTCGTAAAAGACACATCACTTTCACTTAAGCAGCCCTGCTTTTGTTTTTTGGCTGCTTTGGCTGTGTTGTCATTGTTTTATTTTTATTTTGGGGGCTATACCTTGGTTGGCTCACCAGAATTCAGGACAAATGAATCGTACACATTCGATTTAAGTTTCTTAAAAAGTATGCCCAAAGCAAAAAGCCTCTTTTCTTTTGAGAGGAAGCATCACACTAGAGGACAGGGAGCAAGAGACAAAGAGAGAATGTAAAGAACTCCTTACGGCCAGTACTGACTGGTCAGGGTCGACCGCCGAGCGACCTTCAAAATTGTCTGGCCCTTTTTAAATTTCAACGTTAAGGACAATTATAGGGATCAGAGCCTCCTGCTTGTCTTTTGATACCAAAAATGTTTACGTTGGTTCTTAGTCATCCATACCTTACCAGCCAACAAAAATACCATTTACATCTTGCCTTTCGGTTTAATTACATTTCACATTATAATGATTCCATTTAGAAATGCCATGTGTCCTCAAATAAGCACACAAAACCCAACTCATGTAAATTTTAGAACCAAGATTTATGAAATCATATTGTCCAGGTGTTTTATTACATTACTTTGAAATTGCATTGTTTTCTAGCGCAGATTATCTGTTTATTCTTAAGTTATTCCATTACGTTTGGATATGAAAAATAACACTAGCTTTCTCAATACAGGTCACCAAGCTGGCTTGGCTGATGTGTTGTTTTCATACATTTTTATGATGTTCCTATAGTAAACATAATTTAATAAAGCCAAAGCACACTAAATAAATAATTGCATCTAGAAAAGCAATAAAAACAAATAAAATTAGTACTTTCATAAGTGGAAAGGTACTTCAATTACTGCTACAAGCAACAACCCACCATAAAATGTGTAGAATCATTTCCCTTATGCATATTTCTGGAATATAATAATTTGATTGAAGATATGAGGCAGCACACAGGAGGCACTGAATTGTGAAGTGTATACAGTTTCCAACAGGAGATGCATAATATTAGCCCTTGGCACCTTTAAAGAACGTGTTGTTTTTCTGGCATGCATCCTTGGCTATCCCCATCAACCATGTTCTTAATTACATTTCCCAGCTTGTTTAACTAGAAATAAATTCCTAACAGCCACTGAAATGGGCAAAATGTAGACTCCTCACCAGTTTTCACCCAGCTACCTTTCTTTGCACTCACGCTTTAGTGGAAGGTTTAGGTGCATTAGTAAGTAGCTTAGAGAAAATTAATGGCATTACCAGTGAGACCAGGTAAGACTGTAGAACTGGGAGCCAGGAGCAGAATGTAAAGGTTAAAGTGGGCAATTGCAATGAGGCAGAGGCAGGGTGAGGGACCTGCTGCAGGGCCCCACCTGTATGTCAGGTGATGTCCGCCGTCTTGCCAACACAAACCTGTTTGGATTTAAGGTAAGGAATCACCCCTACTGTGGACGGCAATTCAAGAACTGGAGTACAGTGAATGGGTCTCCGAAGGTGAAACAAGACATACTTCTGTTAGTTCCCTGACAGCTTCTGGCCCTCAAATGACCCTCTCTTCAAGGCCCCGTCCTGTTCCTGGTGGTGCAGGAAGTACACGGGGCATCAGCACTCAAGGAGACAAAATTTAATACTCTTGAACTGGCTGTTCACAAACACGCCTGCAGCAGCTCTCGATTGCACTGGAAAACACAAAGGAAACTGTGGAAGGTATGGCTTCCAGGCCTCAGACATGAGCTTTACACTTAGGTCTGCTGTTGCTGTGTTCCCGGAAACAGGAGGGGGCTGGGGACCAACAGCTGGAAGTTCTGGTAGGGTCCTTTAGAAGAGGCTCCAGAACTTTCTAAACATGTGAGACGCAATAGTGCCATTTCCCCTTTCCCAGTACTGTTTGGTTTTACTTTCTTTTCCCTTTCACCCATCCTGAAGAGACTCCTGGTCCATTTCTCTTTCTATTCCTCCAACAGAGGCCTGGAATTTGTGTCAACTGCTTGGGGTCTCGTAGGTTCTAAACCCCTTTGTTTTATGTGCCTTTAATCTCACTTTTCATACATTTCCTCCTAGTCATGAAGAATCCATTCTCTAGTCTGGAATGGGATTCTATGAGCAAGGGGGGGGGGCGGTGGAGGTTCGGATGTAGACACGTGTCACTGCACCCAAGGAAGGTGAGAATAAAAGGAAATTCTCCCGGTTCAGTGAAAGTGTTCACGGCAAGGAGGTGAGGAGAGAG